GCTGGGGTTAACACAACATAGGGTAACTCCATTCGTCCTTGAATCACACCAGATTTTAATACATCCAAGGAAGCAAGATTCTTAATGGAGTTTTGTGGCCCTTGTATAAACATGACCGAGTAACAGACTGCAAGTGCGGGGAAGGTGTTTGGGGTTTATCAGCCAGCTTTCTAGGTCTGGCCAAGCAAAAGCTGAAAGATAACTCTGTATGAGAGCAGTGAGTCAAGACAGCAGAGAGCTGGCTGTAGCCGGGGCCAAACACCTTTCTGCCAGGGGAAATGGTGGTGGCAAGCAGCAGTGTCTCAGGAGGAGGCAGGGTGCACCACACTCTTTGTACTGATCAGAGTATCCTTCTCAGGAGCTGTTTTCTGGGGCTGCTCCAGGGAGTTGAAGTTCACCTTGTATGCCAAGTACAGGGTATTATAGCAGCTTGGCTCATCATATATGTGGATTTACTTTTTCATTGCAAAGTGAAAACATTAGTAGCCTCCATGATTATGAGTTCTTATGTGTCCATTTCCTCAACTTTTGTTGAGCATTTCAAGCTCTGGTCTTGAAAAACACTACAGAAGAAAAGTGTAGAGACACAATATCCTGAGCACCACCTCTGTCATCTCCAGAAGGGAACACTTCAGGTCCACATTCTCATTGTCTTCCTAGTGCATCAATGGGAAACGCAGGCAGACATGGCTTTAAAATTGAAAATGGTTTATGTCTAATATATGTATCAAATTGCCTGGAAAAATAGCTTATTCTTTGACACCTCGGTGAAAGGAACAACCCGGGCGCAGAGGTGGGATTGAACAGTAGAGGTTAGAGACTAAGCTGGGTAAATCACTAAGGCTAAGGTCTAGCAGTCTGTTCCAAAAATTGTATTCCTAAAACCAGCCCTAGGCTACCGAGCTATGCTGTACCCTGCCTCTGAGTAGGATGTGCCTGTTGTGCTAAGTCACAGGATGTATTGCAGTTGGTTTAGTTGAGCAGCATTTCAAGCTCATCAGTCATGTTACCGATGTTATCAGGAAGGTAAACTGTTTCAGCCTCGGCTGCTCAGTCATTTTCAGAAAAATATTTCTACGTGACCTCTGATAAAGCACATTGTTGGGTATCTGTTGATGTTTTTCCTGTGTGACTTCAGTAATGGGTGACTGCTGCACTTGCTCTGTATCTGAAACCAAGTGGGCAAGGACAAGATGAATTAAGACAAATAAAACTGCTCTCTCACCTTCAGAGAGTCAATTATAAGTCCCCTGCTTTGCCCTTCCACTCTGGGAGAAGAAAGCAATGGTAATTTACCTAGGAGAAGCATCCTAGCCTCTCTCCCTGTGGACACCTAACCTGTCTGCCAGGTAATGGCATCAGATAATGTATTGTAATAGATGTAATGGGATAAATCTAAATTAAATTTTATGTAATGGGATAAATTTTCAGAGTTCAGAATCAGTGGAAAGATTTTTCTCTTAACAGCCCTGAAATTTGTTTTACAAATTTCAAAAACAGTTTCTGCTTCCTTATTCAGAAGCTATTTTGGAAGCTAGTTTTGAAGCTTGGAAGGTCACGTCATAGGCAAATAACACAGTGGCAGATATGGCTCTTGCTTTATAATCCTCTAGTTTTATTCAAAGTCATGCACGCTTTGGAAAGTTCTGCTCTAGTGGGTATGTGTCCTGGCCTTGCTAATAACTTCATTTACGTTGTCAAAGCAATCTGTTTGCAGCTAGCTCAGCAGACCTATTTTTCAACCTAAAAGGTGAAATAAAGCCTTGTCCTCACAATACTTCACTGTTGCTAATATAGTAATATGATTCAATTCTTATTACTGTGCTCAAACTTTGAAACCTGTGTCTCTGAACAGCAAATGCATGACGGTGTATTGTGTAATGTGAGATACTGAGACCGAATCCTTACTTGGGCCTTGGCTGTGCAAACACATGTGCGTGCATGAATTTTGTGTTTACATAAATCTAAAACCACCAAGGGTTTATGTGCTTTCATTTCTAGATACGATTGCCCTGATTTTTAAGTACTCAAGGGTGGAATCCTGACAAACTTGTTGAGCTTTAACTCAGCTTTTACTGAAGCCATATTTCACCCCATATTCCCATAAAGGTACAACACTTCCAGGGGCTTGCATGAGAATTAAAGATGAGAAGCAGTGCTGAAAGTCAAGCTGACACTTTTAATGCTCTGGAGGTTCTTTTCTGGTCCATATTTACACTAGTGAATACTTTCCTATTCCAAATGTTATTTAACCAGATTCTTAGTGCATTTTTAGTTCTGGAGCTGCAAGGTGGGTTTAAGTTGTTCAAACACCTATCTTAATAATAATCCTGGCAGAGGAACTTCATGACATGTCAAACCCACAAGTAAACTCTTTTTCTTTTTTATTTGTTTGTAGGCTAACAGTGGTAGTTCAGAACTGCAAGAAATTATGAGAAGACGACAAGAAAAAATCAGTGCAGCTGCCACAGATTCAGGTGTGGAGTCCTTTGATGAAGGAAGCAGCCACTAAATGTGTTTCCTCTTTTCTTTAATTCTATTGTCCATAGCATTATACCATCCAGCTTTGCTTTAGGAAGCAGTGAAGGTGAATGTCTTACTATATTGTAAACGTAACTAGCCATCATAAAGAAAATTTACAGTAGTCTCCACAGAAGTACCTGCTGCTGGCTTCTCATCATTAAAAATGTACAGATGAGAAATTCAATGGAGGTTCCTGACGGGTGAAAATATTGGCACATGATTCATTTACACCCAAAGATGAGTCCTGACTTTATGGAATTAACATGACAGGTAAACTGGAACATGTCTTTGTGATTCATCCGAGGGAAGCTGAGCCAGCAATAAAAAAGCATTTGAACCTTTCAGTAATAACAAGATTCTGAATCCCATCTCTTGCTGTAGTGGGCAATTATGTCTTTTTGGCTCAGTCTGTCTTGTCATGCATTGGGCTGCAGGATGTTTACTGAAGTCATTGATGCCAGCAATCAGAGAGGAACTGTTTAGGGCATGAACAGCAGCCCAACATAGACTGAATCCTTCTTGCATCACTCCCAAGATGTTTTATTACTAATGATGCTGTTTATAGCAAAATAATACTCTGTACATTGATTTTATCAATACTTCACTCGTAATGAACTATAATATTGCACAAGAAGGAATAACTAGAAAATATTAACACAACTCGGCTCAAAGGGGTGATCAGATCTGCTGTAGGTAGCCTTGAAACTATTTGCAGTACTTTTTTTTTTTTTAATATACTTGCGTTTTTTTGTCTGTAACTTAACCCATCAAAAGAACAGTGTATAATCTAGACTTCTCTGTGTGTTGATCCCAGATGTGAGTTTTTCCTTATCTAAAAAGCTATTGTTCCTTTATAAATGTAATCTTTTGGAAAAGTGGATTCCTGGAGGCAAAAGGGGGAGAAAAGGAAACATCCCTCCCAGCAAATATTTTTGAAGATGCAATGATTTTTGTCACAAAATGTTCTGTTATTTCACATGGTTGTGTGATTTTATATATGATATATGTATTATATATAATATATAATATCACTTAATTTAGACAAATTTAATCATCTAGTTTGATTAAGTTTCATAGTGCCTTCTTCACATGAATCAGCTTAAAGTCTGCAATAAACAGTATTTCTTGTCTGTTAAATAGTTGTATCTTTGTGGCTACAAAGATGGTATTGAAATAAGAAAGTGTTCTTGATTTTTGCCATTAGTTTGCTCTTCCTCTGCGTACAAGGGAAAAAAGAATCCTATTCGCTTTTCGTAAAAAAATTTAAAAACTTAATAAAAGTGTTTAGTGCCATTTATTGTAAATGTCCTTACAAATACATCTTCTGTGCATTGGTTATGTGTCCATGTATATTTTTACATTTCATGTATATTCTCTATGCCTGTGAAAAGTACGTAGGTTCTACACTTGTCATTTAAATGTAGTCTTATCCAGAAATGGGTCAAGAAGTGACAAATCCCAAACTGAAGACTCCAGCTGCCACAGCTATCACTAAGAAATGGATTCTTGTCTTACCCAGTTGAAAGAAACGATGATTTTTGATTGCTTTCTCCCTATAGGAAGCATTTGAACCAGCACACGTGCATGGTAACTGTATCCATTCAACCTGTATACATAGCTTTAGGGGGGAAAATGGTCTGTCTCACTGCCTGTCCCCTCATTGAAGGTCAAGCCCAGACCTCCAAAGGCTTGATGTATTCGCTGATACACGTTTACAATTTCTTCTTCCCCACCCTCTCTAGTAAGCGTCCATACCTAGCCTGAAGAGCGTTCACTGTACAGCAAAGTCCCCTACACTGGGTGGTGAATGACTAAAGAAAGAAAGGAAGATCTGAAGCTACTCTTACATAGATGCTTCGTTACTTGTAAGTACCAGGAGCAGGAAATTTCTAAAAAGGTCTTTGAAACTCATATTTAAAAATAAGGGTCGCTGTCTTTTCTCATGGAAAGTGTGTCTGATTCCATAAAAGGCCTTGTGGTGGTTACCTGCACCTCTATTCCCCTGTTTGTTACCGAAATATCAAGCTGATCTTCATATTCTCTGCAAGCTTATTCTAGCATTCAGCATAGGGTTTGCTTTTGCCCAGAAGGAGGCATCAGCTCTGAGACTTTTCAGACTTTGTGGAGTTTGGCATGCGGACGTCTTGGAGGAAGCGCCCATGTTTCATCTCCGAGAGAAAAGAGGTGCCTTCACAACTGTTTTTTGGAAGCTGGCTTTCTGTGTAGCTGTTAAGTTATATAGAAAGAGCCAGACAAGTTTGAATGTGGTCAGTGTGCTCAGAGGCATCTTTGGAGATGGGAGACCCCTTCCAGATACTTGAGGGATAAGCAGAGTAATTTTGGGGTTTGGTTGGTTGGTTTGTTTCTGTGTTTTTTCATAGTTTTTAAATTAACTACTGATGACTTAATACAGTACAACTCGAGTTGTATTTTACCCTTTAACTTTGCTGAACTAGACTTTATGATTTCTGTGTTATGGTCTGTGAAATCTGAATGCCATTAAGGCAGATATTTCTCTCTTTGCTGGAATTTCCTTGATGGTTTAAAGCACTGCAGGGAGCTTCACCCCTCTGCTGCGCAGTTTTTGAATTTTAAGCTTGTTGGCAGTTATGAGAAATCAAAAGGGGATCTCATTTGGCGTTCCTCAAATGAAAATAAAATGTTTTCTTTGAAATTTTCAGTGTCTTAAACGAAAACAGTGGTAAAACGTGATGTTTCATTCAATGTTTGCTTTAGGATTATGAGCTGTGAGGATTATTTTTTTTACACTAATATTTTAGAAAGATGTGATATGTGAAAGTGCCATTGAAAGGGAAACAAAACAGGTTTTTTAAATGTCAGAAAAGTGCCTTATATGTCGAAAAAGGAGTCGTGTTTGATAACATAGGAATTACTTTGCTATTTTGCTGCCATTGAGTGCCTTTTTAACTGGGTGGAGGGGGTTTTAGCAGCCTGTGTTCACTCAGCAGTTTTATGCTTTCTAAGCGCATACCTTTTCACATCAGCAAGGCACTTCTTCCCACTCCTTTAGTCTGCTTGTTCCCTTGGGATGCCATGGGGAGAGAAAACCACTGTGAAACCTCACATTTAATTCAGAAAGAAAGAACACTTCTAACCAATATTGATGCATGGAACAGTTTACTTACCGTCTAGCAATTCAAATGTTAAACAGTGCTTTGCTCTGGCAAATTGTGATCTATAAGTGAGATTTTTATACATACTTTTATTGCTCAAAGCATTGTGCTATATAAAAGTTTGTGTTTTGAGTGGGGCTGGGAAATAAGTGCAGACTTCCACATTATGGATGTGTGCAGAAATCAGTGGTTTATGGGGGAGTAGATATCCAAAATGATACGATATTCTGAAATGTGCAGGGCTCCCAGTGACTTTGTATTCATCAGTGTTTGTGAAACTCTGAAAGTGTCCCTGGAAGTGCTTTGCTGGACAGTAACATCAGTACTTTGCTAATTTAACTAAGGGAACAAATAGAAATCCATGAATAACTGTATGATGTGGATTAAGTCCTCCTAATTAGGAAACATGTAACTATCAGAATTTTCATTGTATTTTTATTGTGGGAAGTGAAGACATTTTGAGTTTTCAGGTTTTTTGGACACACACAGAAGCAAGCTATAGCTTGAACACCAGATCCTTGTTCAAGCATGTATCTCCACTTGTTTTCCTGGGCTGCCTATCATGCATAAGGGAAACAGGATTATGAATGGGAATCCATGTTTCTGGCAAAGCTACCATTTTATAGGAGCCCAGTTTTTCTATGATGTTTTTTCCTGAACTGTGGAGCCTGTGTAGTGTCTAAAACATGAAACAAACATCCCTGTCTAAGGATTGAGTCTGATAGATCAAGAGTATTTGAGGGAATATTTCTGTGCTCAGCCTCCTACCTTTGCATACAAGCAACAGTGTTATGTATGGGAAGTGCAAAATGAGGGACTTTGTAAGTGTGCATTGGGTCTTGTGTTTAAGTATTTCACAAATGTGTTGGATTTTACTGTGGCCTTATTTTTGCTGATAAGTGCCTATTTAACTGCCTTTGGCTCTCCAGTATCTTTTTTCAGTTTCTCTGTAGTTACATGCTTAGGTTGCAACTTTGGCCTTTTACTACTACTATTTCAACACCCAGACCAAAACCAGTATCGGGATATTAGTCTGTGCTTCTACTTCTTGGTAATACTTGTAGAATAAAAGAGGAGATGAAGGAAAATAGGGAGGCTTCCTAGCCACCACTGCTGCCCATCACAGCAGCAGCAAAGCTCAAAGCCCCCTGCTCCCATCCATGTCAACAGCACTAACAATGTCATCCTCTCACAAGAAATGGCTGAAAGCAACAGCTTTTGCCTGCCCGAATGAAACTACTGTTTTCACACAAGCCCTTTAAAAAGTTAGAAGTGGGAGGGCGGTGCTGTGACTCTGTGGTTAATGCACTCAGGGAAGGAAAGGCCATTTTGGTGCCTAAGATTATGATGATGGATATTTGACAAGGGGCAACTTTGTTGTCTTTTAGGCACAGGAAAAAAACCTGTAAAATGAAGTAAAGCACAAGTAAGGCTTCTCAACCTGTTCTTAATCCTTGCGTGAGGATGGAAGGAAACGGTTCTGAAGAGCCAAGTATGTCAGGTCTCACTGCACATGGCATGCTAGGAGAGACAATGTTTTTGCACGTGGATCTAAAAACTTCTTAGGTCTTCTAAAACATGTCCTTAGGTTTACTTGTTCCTTCCGGGGCAGCATGCACAGCATGAGGCAACAAGGAGAAAACCTGCCCTGGTTTCAGTTAATGGTCGCTCACTGTGCAGAGCTGCTTTTACATACGTCTGGGTCAGTAGATGCTGTAAGAGCAGCAGATGAATATAGAGCATCTGTGGTGTCAGCAGAACTATAGGCATGAAACCCATAATTCAAAAAAACCTATTACAAAACCTGAATCTTCAGACAGCTTTGCAGCTGCAATGACTTGAGAGTTTTATTTTGACAGATGCTGGAAACCATATCAACATGCAGCACGAGTCCCAAAACATTGCTCTTTTGGACTTGCTTTCAAGGAGTGTGACAAGGTAAAACCGAAAGTGTGACATGTCGATTCAGGCTAAAAGGCTCTGCATGAGTCTTCTGAGCCACAGTGTCTCCCAGACTATTTCCTTGCTTTACTTGTGTCTTGAACTCTGGGAGACGTGGTTTCCACTGCCATTCCAACACACCCAGCTATGCAGTTTTGCATACCATACGGGGTAGGAAAAGGTATTTTTCTGAAGGTGTTTTCATAGTAATTGATTTTGTGATTAAGTAGCTATTAAAGGAAAGAAACCCACGTGTTACTGTGCAAATGGAATGATTTTTTGACATGCATTCAAAAACTGTCTAGTAAATTCAGGCTATTCAGGCAGTATTGTTTGCAACAATGTGATTTTGGCATCTTTGCAGCAATCTTATACCCTGTCACATTCAG